TTTTTTGCCCCAATAGGCCCCCATGGCACGGAGCCAGCATGGCACCAAGAGGTGTACACTGGACAGAGCGTATAAGGATCCCGAGAAATGATCCTCTCTACATACCTAGTGAATGCAAGTATAAACATGAGTGAAGCTATGATCCAGCAAACAATCGATAAATCGTTACTACTAAAGCCACCCCAAAGCCCCAAACAAGTGGAAGGGGGAGGGGAATGCCCAATCCTGAAATGACTGAGTTTAAAGTGCGAGTCCGAAAGGGCAACTCGAAGGAAGTGGATTGCGATGAAATATGCGGCGGACCAGCAAGAAAGCGATACATTCCAGACTTACGGAGAACTTTTAAACTTTCCTCTTGTATAAACAATGACGCAGTGAAAGAAAAAATGGTGTTGAAAGCGAAACTTATAATACGAACTGCCAGCACAACATCGCCGGTCACTAGACCAGAAGTAACCACAGACTTTCCCAAACTGACAGCTGTAGTTTTGTGCCCTCTACTGGACCAGATGACCAACCTTAACGTCAAGCGGGATATGTTGCAAAAGGAACTCAAAGAAATTTCAGCAAGAAATAAATAAAGCGGATGTTCCTGAAGCAACAACAGAAAGCGGAAGATGGACCTGAGAAAGTGGAGGAGAACAAAGACACAGAAGAAGAAGAAGAAGAAGAAGAAGAAGAAGACGACGAAGACGACGAAGACGAAGAAGACGAAGAAGAAGAAGAAGAAGAAGAAGAAGAAGAAGACGACGAAGACGACGAAGACGACGAAGACGAAGAAGACGAAGAAGAAGAAGAAGAAGAAGAAGAAGAAGAAGAAGAAGAAGAAGAAGAAGAAGAAGAAGAAGAAGAAGAAGAAGAAGAAGAAGAAGAAGAAGAAGAAGAAGAAGAGAAAAATGGGGAAGGCTGCGATACCATCTCGAAGAGTCTGGCAAACCCTTTAATTCTGAAGCAGAACTAAAAATTAATTTGGACTTTGATAAGAGGAAAGGAAATTGCAAAATAGCTTAACTCTGATAGCCTATTGTCTATTTTAACGCATAACTTCAATTCTATGATATTTACACTTTAGCTAAAGAGATTGTGATTGCTTGCTTGACATTTTTGCATTAGTAATCTTCATGTTCTACTACTATGTTAATAGAGATGTATCAATAACTTTATATGTCTGTATTATGGATCCTTGTTACTCTTATTTTAGGTTTTTCCATCCCCCTGACCCTGCAGTTTTGTAGATTAGAAAATAAAAAAAAAATTTAAAGACAAAGTCAGGCATCAGTCTGTTTATTTCTTACTGCTGAGGCGGGTTATGATTTCCCGCCATTTTCGCAGTGCCAGTGTCGAACCTCTTGTAGTCTGCTTTGCTTTCTTTCGCCGATGAGAGAGTTTAGGTCGATCTGAGAGTCGTTTTAACGCTGGTAGAAGGCTCCCATGATTTCTGCCCATAACTTGAAGGCTAAGAGTTGTTTGGTAAGTATGTAGGTTAGGCAGAAAGAAGGCAGGAGATGGAGCTCAAGGTTTAAGCGACTGCCATCTTCCTTGGTGTCGCCACGCCCCTCAGAGCTGGCTTATGAGAGAATCTTCTTGACCTGTGTGGTTTTATAATATTGTCAAGATTCAGACAACTAATTTATCTAAAATGTGTTAAGACACATTCAACAGCAGTGAAATAATATCAATAAATAATTCACCTCTATGTTCCCATACATATTGTTATGTTAATTGGTGCCCACATCAAGTGAGAACCAATGCATAAGTTCATGTGGTGTAATAGTTAGGGAGGTGATTAGGACCAGGGATACCTGGATTCAAATGCTGACTCAGCCATGAAGCTTACTAGGTGATTTTTATCCAATGATTTTCAGCTTAACCTTCAGTGTAGGATAGTTATGAGAGGAAAAGGGGAGGAAGGGAGCAATACAGACACCACCATGAGCTCCATAGAGGAAGAATGGAATAAAATGTGATAGATTAGATTTGAGGTGGTTTTGCATGTGCACAGAATGCTAGCAGTATGTGGGTATTACTATATATAATGCTCCCTATCCCCATCACACATACAGGTGCACTTAGAGAAACATCACTGAAACGTGCACATGTGAAGCAGCTTTTAAATTTTTAATATATCGATTGGGTTTTAAGAGAGCTGTTAGCTACCCCATCTTACTTAGATTCATCATCACTTCACACCCAGCCATAAGAACAGAAATCTGTTCTTCCCGTGTTTGAATCTCCAGGCATGTCATGCTTTCTGTG